GCTCGAGCATAGATGCAAAGTCTGGAATTTTCAGATTGCACCTTCAAGCTCAAAACTCAATTCTAACCTTCAAAACACATCTCTTGAGCCCCAAAACTTGAGACAACATAGTAAACTTGTAAAACATGATGAATTAAGCATTATTTCATAAAATCATGGCCCAAGAGTTTGTTAAAAACTCACAATTTCAACTTAAAACATGATGAATGTTCATGAACACAACATGCATGAATTTTTCTTGTATCAAACTCCTCAAAACATTATCAAACCCCACAAAACAACTTAAAACTTGATGATTTCCCTAAATAAAGATGAATTTCAAACATGTATGAGAGAATTCTTGGAGTTCATGCCCAATTTGTGAGAAAATGCACATGCATGCATGAATTGCAACTCAAATCTTTATTCTAAGCTCAATGTACACATTCAAACTCTTAATCTTGAAGAAATTCATGTTAAATGACTTAGTTACACAATCTAGAGGTTGTAATCTTACCTAGAGTCTTGAATTAGCTAGGTACTTGCACAATCTTGGTGACTTCCTTCAATTCCTTTTCAATTCCTTCAACTCTCTCTCTAGAATGCACTCTCTCTCCCTCTCAAGTAAATTCTCAGATTTTGGCACTCAAGGAATGAGGGGAAAGGAGCTAAATGTGTTGAATATAAAGTTATGATGCCAAAATACATTAGTTAGAATATTAGGCTAACCAAACATAACTTAATTAATCGTTCTGAATCAATTTTTAATAAAATTTGCCATATGGTTCTAAAAATTCCAAATAACATATTAACATAACTAATTCTGAATTCAGATGCCGATAAGGCTTTCAATTTACATATTAAAGTGGAATTCCAAACAAATATTTCTATAGGTAACAGATAGAAGGCCAAATATCATGCAATTTACATACTAACCCCATAATTCATTTGATCCACTCAATTAGCATCATTAAATACAGATTAGTGGCTAATTACGGATAGGGGTTGTTACAGTAAGTATCCCATTGTATCTAATTTACCAAGTAAGAGCGGATCATATTTAGAAGGTAGTTTTACATTTCTTTCCGTAACAATTAGTCGATTAATAAAATGTGAATAGGCTTGTTCATGATGATACGTTAAAAAATCATTATTCGGATTGTCATGATGTTGTTGCTGTGGTTGATGTTGTATAGGGTTTGAGGATTCACTATGTTCGGTTCTGGTTCGTTTTGTTCTTGGCATGATGACTGCAAGAGTGAAAGAAAAATATATGAAAAATGTATATTAAAACATATGAGTTAAGAAAAATGTATGGAAAATATATCAAAAACAGTATGATGTTGGTGTGAAAAAATGGAATAGATATGAAAAAAATGAATAGATTGGCAACAGATAGGAAACTGATCGGCAACAGATAGGAACTGAGTGCGAATTGGTGTGAGATGGGATGACTGGCCGGTTGACCGCCCGGTTGTCTTGGTCCGACTAACTGTTCTTCGACTATCTGAAGCTACTCTGATCTTCGACTATCTGAAGCTACTCCGAATAAAATATGAAATGTGAAGCTAATATGAACTGGATGAAACTAACCTGTAATTGAAATCTTTCTTCTTCCTTCACACGGATACACTGAATTTAATTAATGTTCTTTTGTGCTGGAGCTGAGATGGTGAAAATTGTGTTCTTCTGTGATGGAGCTGAGATGGTGAAGATGGTGTGGTTAAAGGAATGAGGATTCAGATTTTATAGAAAGGCTGAAGTTCAGAAGGTTCAGGTTGTTAATTTTTTTTTTTTACTTTTTATTTCTTATCTATTATTTTTTATAATATTATTAGTTTTTTAATAATACTACATCCGTATACTGAACACACAGCTATATCGTCTGCATGGTGTCCCTTTTTTTTTAGCCCAGTGCTGAACACACAGCTATGATACAATAGGTGGTAGGTAGTAGATAAGTGAAATTACTATATTACCCTTTTTTATTTTGTTCTTATGTAACAACTTCTCATTTAAATCAAGAGGGATAAAATAGTCATTTTGCACGCCATTTCACCCCAATTATATGAGCTTCATTTTGCACGCCACTCCACCCAAATTATATGAGCTTCACGGGTGCTGATTATGGAAGTACAATAATGCATGGTCAATCTGCTTCGACTTTATTACAAAATTAATAACGTGTAATAAATGAGAAAAGAATTGATAATGTTTTGTAAGGTTTACCTTATGATTTGTATTTTAAAATATTAAACTTAGTGTATTTATGTTAATTTTTATTAATATGTATTCTCAAAAGTTGTTGACTTTAACAAAATTTTAGAAAAAATTAAAAAAGGTATTGTACAAGATGTTTGTACAAGCGTTCAAAATGAATTGATAGAAAAATTAATTGATACAAAATAATTGACATAGATTTATTTTAAAATGAAAAAAAAAATTGAAAAAAAATTATTCAAAAAAATTACTTGAAAAAAAAATTAATTTTTAATTTCAGTATTTTAAAAATAGTTTGGTTATTACTGTTGATAAAAAATACGGATATCGATATATGAATTGTGTGTTTAATTATAAATTATTGATTGAATTAAGTTTTGAAAACTATTTTCAAAACACATCACCAAATAAATTTTCTTATTTCACATGTCACATCAAATTTTCAAAACTTAATTCAAAATACATCTTCAAAACACATTTCAACACTCTATTTAAAAATCATAACCAAATAAATTTTCTACACTCAAATCATAATTTCACAATACACAAACTCAAAATACAACTCATACTCTCAAATCACATTTACAAAACTCTACCAAACGCTACCTTTATTTTTTTGGGACACTACGTGATGCATTATAAGGGGACTATTGTACAGGATCTGGATTCACGGAGACAACGGATGATTGAAATTAATTTTGTGGTTAAATAAAAAAAAATTAATTATTATTGTATATCATTTTATTTTAAATCATATATTCTAATTATAAAATTATTTTATTTTTATCCCTTCAATTGGTTGAGTTTTTAAAAAAAAATTAAAAACCATTTTTTATGAAAAAAATTATGCTTTTCTCTTTTGAGTAGAAAATAATTTTATAAAATTTTAAATGCACATATTTTAGTGTTCATTTTTTTCAAATAAGTTTTTAATTTTGTAAAATAATATTTGAAAACTCAACAACCAGAATGTTTATATGAATTTTTGTAATTTAAAAAGATAAATTGATTTTTAGTGATAATTAAAGGAATAAATACAGTGTACATAACCTTAATTTTACTTACTTTCTTTTTGAAGAAAATTCAAAAAGGAAAAAATTCTGACCTGCCGGATTCGAACCAGCGACCTAAGGATTACAGCAAATAGCCAACTACAGTCCTCCGCTCTACCAACTGAGCTAAGGTCGGTTTCTTGTTTAGTTTTCTCAATATATAAATATTAATAAGTAAATTACACTTTCAAACTTTTCAGCTTCCTCTAAATTTCACTTTAATTTTGATGAAAATACACTGTTTGGATATATTAATCTATTGCTATACTTCATTGTATTATCTCCTTGTTTTTATTTTATTGAAGTTTCTTCCTATCATTACTCCAAAATTAAGGACGTGGGCAAAGTGGGGTTGAGGCAAAGAAACTCATTTCCCACAAGGAGGGGGAATGATAGAACAACAAAATATTTCATTATGGATTGGGGTGAGGATAGATGAGATATTGATATTCAAGGATCGTTTTATGATGAGGATATATAGGGTATTGATATTCGAGGATCATTAGAGTAAGGACGAACGGAATACTTATAGTTAATAATTGATAATAAAAATCAAGTTGACGAGTGAAGACATGTTTGATTGGACGAACTGGATAGAAGAGATTAGGATCCATCGAACTTAAATCTTGAGACTGTGAATCCCCTGAACTATTTGGTTGGATTGAATGTGTATCCCGTATTTGTTTCTCATGAAATTAGATGTCTAAAAATGACTATTTTTACTGAATGTAATGTTTGGTTAGACGAACTGGATAGGATAAATGAACAAAGACTACTTTACTCTTTTTTTAGTTGTTTATTAAGTAATAGCAATATTAAACACATATTTAATATTTTAATTATTTTTAGCTAGATTAAATAAAAATTTATTTTATTTTATTTTTTACACAATTAAATAAATTTATTTTTTTTTAATTAAAATTTAAAATAAAATTATTTTAGAAAATAATAATAATTGAATAATGAAATTAAATAAAACATCTATTAAAATTTAAATAATGAAATTAAATACAATATAAACAAAATTTTAAAATAAAATATCTACAAAAAATTATTTTAAAAAATTAAATAAATAAAACGTCAATAAAAAGTTAAATAAAATTATTTTATTTTTAAATTGAGATATTTAAATTTTATTAAATTTTACTAAATATAATACATAATTAAATAATAGAGGGTCAAAATGATCATTTCACTATCTAATATCAACAATAAATAATCCCATAAAAATTGTCCCACACCCCCCGGATAGTATAATCTCACATATGGGGATAAAGAGTCCGACCGGATTCCATGTCCGACAGACTTTAAAAAAAAAAAACAAACGCCGGATAAAAACATTGTCCCGAATTACAATCTGAACAGTAAATAATCCCTTCAATCAAGGATCGGGGATGGGAACTGAGGTGATAATTAAGGATCCAAAATGAAATCCGCAAAATTCAGTCCCCCCAAAAACCCACACACACACGTTGCCATCCCGATTGAAAAGTCATTTTGTTCATTGTTTTGATAGTAGTATCATTTTTCTAATGTATTTCTTCATGCAAATTTTTTTTTTTCTCTAGCAAATTATTTTCCTGTGTTTGAAGCTAATATTTTGCTCTATCCATGTTCAAAACAATAGCTTGTGATATGGTTTTGTTGGTAAAGCTAAAGTGTTTTTGGGAATCAGTTTTCATGCTTTGATGCTTTTCTAGGTGAAAAATAAATAAATAAAACTGAAATTTTATCAGTAGGACAAGTAAATTCCGAGACAACAAATTACCGATGCAATTAACATTAATGTCCAACAACATAACTCTCCCAATCTAATAAATAAAAATGAAAAACAACATAACTCCCAAAACATGAAAGCATTTTACAAGTGAAACTGAAAACTTCGTGTAAGTTCACATTTGATCACATCATTACAAGATACGTGACGTGGGCATTTTTCAGATCTTAGATTGGTGCTTAATCGACGGAAACTGGTTGCATGTTTTCGGCCTCTTTCCTCAGCTCTTGAAACAGGACAGACGACAAGTATCGCTCTCCGAAGCTTGGATGAACGGTCTGATCACATTCAAAAATAATTACAAATTTTGCCAAGGATTAATAGTTAAACCAAATTATTCATCAAAGAAAATGAACCGGTATGCTTTTTGCTTCTACAATCAGTACCAGTAAATGATTCTAGACATTACCAAATGTTTTTTTTTTTTTTTTCCCCTTCTCTTTTCGAATTCTAACTCCTACTAGATATAATTAAAGGCTTTTATAAACAAGTCATATTTAATTATAGAATAAGGGAGCAAAGTTGGATTAAATAATCCCTTATTTTTTTCAAACTTCCTTACTCGGTATAACTAATCTCAAGGGACCCTTTTATCCCGTATACAAGCGATTATTTTGTGCCAAGGGAGGGGTAGGACAGCTAATCCCAGGATAATATTTTTTCACCAAATTACTGAAACGCCTCCGTGGAGAAGTTGTTCTGGAACAACTTATTCAGCTTAATCACATCAGCGGATCAAACATAGGTAAGGGTATCAGTTAACAAAGTACTAAATGATGTTCATACCACAATAAGTTTGCCTTTGTTCTCTGGCCTTCTTGCAAGTCTAAGTGCTGCAACTGTGTTAGCCCCTGATGATATCCCCACCTACATGATCAAGTTCATGACATGTATTCACCCAAAAGTTCATGACATGTAGTTAAAAATTACATCAAACAAGAAAATTGTAGCCATTTCTGCAACAAATTTAATTTCAATTTCTGCTCAGAATGCCAACAATATCATTAAATCTATCATCGTCAAGTTTAACATGAAAAACAAAAAAATAAAAAATAAAAAAATTGGTTCATTTAATGAACGACAACTAACAAAGTCAAATCCTTCTGTGTCCATGTCTAAAACAATCTAAGCTATGATTGTCATATCATTTGGGTTTTCTGTTTTTATTTTTTTGAAACACATAACACTTGTTTAGCAAACTTTTTTTGAAAACACCAAAAAATAATTTTCAGAAATAGTTTGCCGAACAAGGTTTTTCTATTTTTTAAAAAAAATAAAAACATGACCAAACAGCCTAGAGTTTAGAGCATCGTTTGAATTATTACCATAAGTCCCTCCTTCAATGCTAACTGCCTAGCCATATTCACAGCATCTTCACTAGAAACCTACAACATAAAATAAAATAAAAATAAAAAAACCAAATTGATCAATAGAGTTGTTTCAGTACACAAGATAAACACAAAATGGGTCTGATCCTTATACATTTTTTACGCCAACAAAGATCCAAATATATTGAAAAAATGCTTACCATAAGAACTTCTTCCATCACATCCATGTCCAATATATCTGGTTTGAATCCAACCCCATTGCCAGTTATATGATGAGGGCCTGTATGCAACAATATTAGTCCTTGGTAATGATTGTTTGGTTGCTGAGATAGTGGAGGAAAGGAAAAGAAAGTTTTTATTTATTTATTTTTACGGAGCAAGCAAAAACTGCATACAAGAACATGAAAATTAACAAGGAATGGGATGCTTTACCTGGTTTACCTCCATTCAGTACGTTGCTTTCCTCAGGTTCAAGTCCATATATCTGTGCAATTATAAACAAATTTAAGGATATCTTATTTTGTTATATAAAGCACACACTTTGTCAAGTTTTTTTTTTTTTTCTCCCCCTTCCAAAATACCCATAAAATTGGTAACTGCAAAACTCTACATCTCATAACTGCTAAACCGCCCAAATGTTCAGATGTACAATTGCAAACGCATCTTGTCTGCACCCACTAGTGGTACATATATTTATAATCATAATAGCTTAAGAAGATGAAAGAGCATATCTTATTTCACCTTAACATTAGGATTTTGGGATTTGAGATATTGTCCAACTCCAGATACAGTGCCACCACTTCCAATTCCCATTATAAAGATGTCTACTTTCCCGCAAGTATCTTCCCATATCTCAGGACCAGTTGTCTCGAAATGCACCTGTTTTCCAACAGATGATTACTTAATTGACTTATCTAATTAATTTAGATGTGTTCATGAACAACTTGATTGGATCCCTGGGATTACAATCCAATTATCCATAAACAACACGATTTGTTTGCAGCCTTGGGATTACAAAGGCATATAAATGGTTACCTGTGTATTAGCGGGATTTGAAAATTGTTGAAGCATGAAAGCATCCGGTGTGGATTCAAGAAGCTCATAAGCTTTCTTAACAGTTCCTCCCATCCCCTTGGTTGGGTCAGTGACGATTAGATCAGCTCCAAATGCTCTCATAGTCACTCTTCTTTCCAAGCTCGTGTAAGAGGGCATGGTCAAAACCATCTTGTATCCTTTCATGGCCGCCATAAATGCCATGCTAATCCCCATGTTTCCCGATGTTGGCTCAATCAACACCGTCTAAAATAACCCAATTTCAAAAAAGTTAATTTTTTGAACTTATTTGGAGTTTTCTGAGTTGGAAAAAAAAAATGCTCACCTTTCCAGGAGTGATTAACCCTTTCTTTTCTGCATCGTTGATCATGGCGAATGCCGGTCTAGTGACATAACAAATGATCATGAATTCCAATATTATATATATCAAAACGAGCACGAGATGACAGAGCTACTAACAAATTACCGATCTTTGATGCTTGCAGTGGGCTGCATCATCTCTTGCTTGACGGCAACATAGGCTCCACAACCTTCGGTAACTTTATTAAGAAATACAAGGGGAGTTCTCCCAATGAGCTGAAATGAGAGAAATGTTTCAGATCAATAAGAACGACACTCACTAAACTATCAAGCATGTTAATAAGATCTGACAATCCAATAAGTAATTTTAAATGTTTAATATACGACGATGAAACTAGTTAATGAGTATATGAAGTCTATAAATGGAAGTACACCACAAGATGATGGTACACAAAACAATTTGAACATAAGTTACACATGTACATAGGCAAAATGTAATGACAATATAAGATTTGCATAGAGCCCACAAGGGAATAACAAAATCTCTTTAATTTATATAAATTAGGTAATTATAAATTTTCAAAATAAATTATAAAGAATTAAAAGAATCAACCAATATTGAGAGCTGGACTTTTCTTTTTAAAAAAATAAATTTTGAAGAAGATTAGCTTTGAAGAGTAAACTCCAAATCCTCGTAATCACTTACAAACCACATGTATCGATTAAGTTCGAGAGACACCAGATAGAGTATCTTTATAGTCTAAAGCATTTGATTTTGTTTTTGAAAAAACAACAAATATTAATATGAAAAATTCATTTGACAAACTATTTCCGGAGTTTTATTTTATTTTATTAAAACACTCCTTTCAAAAAACAACTTTGAAATATTTGTTTAAATTCTTAAAAACCATTTAACTTCAAACTAAAAACCAAAATGAAATTTGATTTTCTCCATATTTTCGATTTTGTGGTCCTTTCTTTGTACTAAAAACATTCACTTAACTTTATTTTAAGTTGAAAACTAAATAATCTATAAATAAAATCCAAAGAAAAAGATAATCAACTTATTAGTAATGGGTAAAATACAAATACACAATTGAGATTTACTTAAAATATAAATTATCCCTATGGTTTTGAAAATGACAAATCTCCTTCTTATCATAATTTTTTTTATTTAACACTCATTTAGGAAGTTGGTTATTTTAGTGGAATATTTTAGTTTTTAGCTATTTTAGTAGGCTAAAATTTTTATATTTGGGAAGATGATTGAATTTTTTTTATAGTTGGATATGATGTTTGTGAGAGAAAAAGTGAAATAATTATGAGTTTAATGTGACATTTTGTTTTATTAGTTATTTTAACTTATTTTGTCTTTTTGTGAATTTTAACAAAAAAAAAAAAAAAAAAGCCAAAATCCCACTTGTCAAACAGGGCTTTAACAAAAATAAAATAAAATTTCTAACTACTCCCCATAGAACAATAAAGTTATCTAAATTCTTAATTGAAATATATTTAAGACATTATTAAAAGGATAAGGGGTCACTGTTGTGCGTGAAGCACAGCAGTGACTGTGGTGCCTCTATTTGAGGTGTATTATGGCCTTATTTTTATGATCCAAACCGTCCATTTTGTAACGTTTGTTGAGTACTTCATGCCTACCAAAAATCATATTAATCGGATATCAACAACTATATGATCGACAACTAAAAAAATAAATAATAAGTTTTATTTTGAGAAATAACATAAATAATATGCAATTCGATCATATAGTTGTTGATATCCTATTAATATGATTTTTGGTAGGCATAAAGTACTCAACAAACCCTACAAAATGGACGGTTTGGATCATAAAAATAAGGTCATAATACACCTCAAATAGAGGCATCACAGTTACTGTTGTGCTTCACGCACAGCAGTGACCCCTTATCCTTAAAAATTTATTAATAAAAAAGTCATTTATTATACAATTAGAAATTTAAAATATAATTTTCAAAATTACTGAAGGCAATTTATATTTTAAACAAATCTTAAATGTATTTGTAATTTACTCTTAAATAATTTCTAGTGCAAAAAAGATAAAATTCCAAAATTAAATATATATAAAAAATTAAATACATAAAAAATCATAAACCGCCGCAACACGTTTGGCCAGCAAAATTTCAGACCTTCAAAGGCCTTGGTGGGGCCTTCCACGAGACGTTACAAACTGTAACGGTGGTTGCATGGTTACAAGGATCTACATCCACTGAAGTGCAAGAGGTGAAATCTTGTCTACGAAATTTAGAATGAAATAAATAAATATATTTTTTAATTATTTATACACAAATATAAAAAAATAATATGATTTAAAACAAATGAAAAAATAAAAAAATATGTTTATATGGCACATCCTAAACAAGTTTCAAAAATGTGACTAAGGCCAAGTTTGAGAAGACTAAATAAGTGTCTTTTTTGACTTTTTATGAAATATGAGTTGAATTTGGGTTGGGTTTGAAGTGATGTGTTAGAGAGATAATGTGACTTAAATAAGATGATGTGACTAAAATAGGATAGTGACTTTTTGACTTTTTGAATTTTTTGAAGGATGTCAAACTTGGCCTAGCTAAGCTTTCGTCTGAGAAGTGAATTGGCTTTTGATTTTTTTGGCTATTTTAGCCTGAGCTAAAAAGGTTAGTTTGGGAAGGACTTTTTAACTTTTTAACTTGATTTTTTTTGTAAGGGAAAAGTATAATGATTATGAGTTGGATATGATGTTTTGTTTGTTGTGATTAAAATAATCTATTTTGATCTATTTTGAAAAGATGGTAAAAAGTGATTTTTTGACTTTTAACAAAGTTTTTGACTTTTTTAGACAAATGATTTGGGAAGTTGATAAAAAATTACTTTTGGTTTTTTTTATTAATATTTGTTTATGATGTCAAATCACAATAAAATGACCAAATCACCCCCATTTAATTTAAAATATTTATAATTTTACCCATATAGCACATTTTGACCCATGAGGGACAGAATTGTAATTTCACCATTGGCTAAAAACCAACTTTCCAAATGAAAAAAAAAAAAGAAGCCAAAAAAGCCAACTTTTGGCGTCGGTTACAAACCAAAAAAAGTGGCTAAAAATTATGTTCCCAAAAGAAGCTTTTATCTTTTGTAACTATTTTAACCACAAATCAATTTGCCAAACACCACCTAATTAAATTAGAAAAAGTAGACAGCCAAAAGCCAATAGACCAATCCAAAAACGCTGCCTCGTGGATATTAATGCCATAGGTCTCGTTTGGAAAGATATTTAATTTATTTTGAATTACATTATCTTTTTAAATTTTTACATACTTTTTTTTAAAAAATTAAAAAATTAATTTTTAACTAATTTTTCAAAACAATCCATAATTACATTAGCAAACTCATGCACAATAAATGTGCAATTCAAAAAAAAATATAATAATATAATAATAATGATAAAAAAAATACACATATTTGTTATTGGGGCTGACTTCTTGGGGTACTGTTGGGCTTATGAAAGTCTATCATGAATCTCATTTCAATAATTTGAACTATTGAATATGTAAAATTCGTCGAGTACTATATATTTGTATAAAATCACATTGATCGGATATTGATAGCTACGTGATCAAATCAGTTTTGTATTAAAAAAAATAAACGGTGAAAAAATAAACGATCAATAGAAATATGATCTGATGAGATAGCTATTGATATTCGATCAACATGATTTTTTTTACACATTGAACAGTTCAAATTATCAAAACAAAATCACTTCCACGAACAAAATAATACCCTCCAAATAAAGCCCAGCCCTTTGTTATTTAAGTAGTAAGGGATTGCTTTGTGACCTCATGATTTTGGTTTTAAATTTTATCCTTTTTTTTTTTTTTACAGAAATATCAACTACATGGATATTTTAAAAAATCCAAAATATAAGATATAAATGTGTCAACATCACCAGCACCTTCACTTTATGTATTAAAATGTATTTTAATTCAGTAAATATTTAAAAAAATAATTACATATAATTGAGAAATTTTATAAACATTAATAATTGAATTCTTAAACCCTTTTTTTTTTTTATCAACTTGTAATAATTTTATGAAAATATCACTGGATTGTAATTTTCCTTTACATTTCCTACCACTTTATATGAATACATACTGAAATTATATAATTTTTGTGTTTAGCGGTAAGAAAAATAATTAAAAAAATTATTATTATTTTTATAATGTATTTCCTTACATGGTAAACAACTGGTGTAGCTCATAATTTATAAGAGTTGGAATTATAATTTCATAAGATCAAGTTAGATTAATATTTTAGATTTTATTATAAAAAAAAATTAAAAAAATTATTAAAATAACTTATACTTAACCGAGACCGGAATTATTGCCACGAAACACAATTTTTAAAAAACAAATAAAACAATGATAACTGTCAGAACAGAAGTATGTACAGAGACGGGATTGGTGTGGCTGGGGGGCGGTGTACAGCAGTTACTGTTGTGCAGTTAATTAGGTCATTTTGAAAGTTTATTTTGATAATTTGAATCGTTTATATTTTAGAATACATCAAATAGAATATATTTGTAAAAAATCAAATTAATCAAATATCATTTATCCATTCATCCACTTACATTTGTATTTATTTTAATAGTTTAAATTACAATTGTTATTTATTTTTGTAGATACAAATGTGAGTGGATGAATGAATAAACGATATTTGATTAACTTGATTTTTTACAAATATATCTACTTAATGTATTTTAAAATATAAACAATCCAAATTATCAAAATAAATCTAAAAAAAAACCCAAATAACTACACAGGAGTGCACAGCAGCCGCCCCAGTTCCGAGCAGAGACGTGTGGATACAGATTCATCTAAGAAAGTAATGATAAAACATCAATACTGACAAGTATTAAATAAATAAATAAATAAAAGAAAAGAGAAATTATAAGTTAGTATAAATAAATAACTCAAAATAATTCAAATTTTATAAAAATGTAAGCGGATGGAAATGAGTTCACATCATAGCTGTGTTAGTGCGATAAAGTGGGTTTGTATCCGATCCAAGTGAAAGTTATTGGATAACACAGCTCAAATTTATATCCACTTGCACCTTCGGAAAAACACAATTATTTTGGTAATGTTTCGACTTAATTTTTAAAACATGATTTGAAAAAAAATAAAATAAATAAATTTTTAAATAATAAAATTCTAAAATATATTTCAAAACTCAATTTTTTTTTATTCTTTCTCTTTCTGTTTTTTTAATATCAATAAATTAATCCGTCACTTTTTTCTATCCTCTCTTCTATCACATTCTACAAATTAATCAATTAAATTTTCTTTTCCACTCATTTATTCAATTAAAAAAATAAAAATTACAAGTCACTCTAAAATTATTTTTAAAATTCATAATTAAACAAATTTTTAACTTTTAATTTTTTTTTCAAAATTTTTAAACAAAATTATATATATATTTCTTAAATATAACTCAAAATTGGTTTCAAAACAGAGCCTTTGATTATTTTATTTTATTTTTTTTTGCAATTCCATCAAGAAGTAATTGAGAGAGAAAAAGGAGGGAGGGAGAGAGAGAGAGAGATTACTTGAGAGACTTCCTTTTTGATGTGAGTACCAGGGAGATCTTTGGGCAGATCTCTGATTCTTTGAACAAAAGATGGGTCATGAGAATCAACCATGGGTTGAGTTGAGACCCATCTGGAGCTTCTGATAAGATTACCAAGATTGCATGATGATGATGATATGGATCTTCTCTTGATGATGGTGCTTAAAGCAGCCATTAATGGAGAGAGAGAGAAAGAGAGAGAGCCTTTAGTCTGCTTGGGTCCAGAGCCTCCTCTGTGTACTCTTTGTGTGTATCTGTGGTTGAGTTAGAGAATACAAAACTTGTGAGATCGTTTTATAAGAAAACTAGCGTTTGGAAGGTGAGTTGATTTTTTTGAGTTTTTGATTTTTTTTTTTTTATTATTTTAGTTTGGATTAAAAAGTTTAGTTTGAGAAAGATTTTTTGATTTTTTAAGTTTTTTTTGTAAGAGAATAGTGTAATGATAATAAATTGAATATGATATTTTATTTATTATGAATAAAATAACTTATTTTGTCTTTTGTAATCATTTTAACCACAAACCAACTTGTCAAACACCATCTCATTTTAAAACAAAAATATATATATTTGATAATAGTATGGTAAAACAATAATTTTAATTATAATTACAATTATTTATTTTAATAATATTGCCATTATCTTTGATAATATTAGCGTTATTGTTCTATAAAATTGTTACTTGAATACTAATATATTAAGTTTAGTAAAATTATTTGTGTTTTTTTAATAATTTTAGTTCTATTGTATTATAAAAGTATAATTATTATATAATAATTTTGTATGATATATATTAAATTATAAAATAGTAAAATAAATACTCATTTTGATATTAAAAATAATAATTAAATTAGAAAAATAATTAGTAACATAAAATTAAAAGCAATTCTAATTATTTAATTTTTTTAATATTCATTTAGAAAATAAAAATATGTAGAAATATAAATCATTTAACATTTATTTAAAAAATTAAATATAATATATTGTTGTTATATTATCATATAATGATTTTATATGATATATGTATATTAAAAATTATAATATTGTAAAATAAATATTCTTAATTAAATTAAAATATTAATTATATAAAAAAAATTTAATAACGACTAATTAAGAAATAATCACATAATAACATACAAATCCAAAAAGAAAAAAATAATAAAAGTATCCAAACGATAAATACATCTCGATGTGTTGAGTGATGAATCATCTGTAATATAATGTCAAAACAAAAAAGAATTTATTGTTCAACAATTGAAAAAGTAACTTAAATAATAAATCCAAACTTTAGAAGTTGTTTAAAAGTACTTGTGCAAGTTTTTCTCATGTGAGTTGTAATTATATAAAATAATGTAAGAAATGAATATAATTTCATATATAAAATCACTATAAAATTTAAACGACAAATTCATAATATAGAATAATATAAAATTGGTAATGAGTATAGAATAATGCAAGGAAAAATAAGGAAAAAAACAATTTAACATTAAAAAAATCTTAATACCTTTGACAGAATTAAAAAGAAAAACGTGAAATGCAAAATTGATATTGAGTTTGTGAATTATCTCAATTTACCATGAAAACATATGGAAAATAATTATTTGTCCAATAAAATCCATATAAAATGGTTAAAGTTTGTATAATTTAAATTAAGTTTGGGTTTATATAGAACTCTATATGTAATTAAGAAAATATGTTAACATGATTCTTTTAAAAAAAAATAAACTCTTATAATGTGCCACTAAGTATAAAAAAAAATATTACTTTCAATAATATATATGATATTGTATATACAGGTCTATTTTGTTAACTGGATTAAAGTCAGATTTTTAGCATTCTGACTTATTGTATTACATTATCTCTTTATTTTATTTATTTATTTATTTTTTGCACATGTAAAAAAAAAAAAAAAATCAAAAATTTGACCTTCAACATATTTCCTAAAATAGGATTGAAGGGTATCAATTAGGGTGGGCATATGTGGGGCCGGCCTTAATTTGGGTCGGATTAACACTATATGGTAAGAGATTTTATGTCTGTCAAGTACGACCCGACTTTAATATCAGACCTTTACATCTGTTGCAGCCTATTTAAAAAATAATTATAAATTTTAAATTCACTCATCGAGTTATATCTTAAATTTTTTTTAAAAATATTTTATAATTAAATTCAATTACACATTATATTTATTAAATAAATATACTGACATCTTTATAAATTGAAAAATTTTATGTATAAATTAAAGGATTTTTTAAATAAACAAATCACATATTACTACAAATGTGAGTTTGAACAAAATAAAAAATAAAAAAAAAGAATATAAATTCTAATAAAAAATATATTTTTTAATATATTATAAATAATTAATTAATTAATTATCGGGCCGGGCTCTGCTAGGATAGCTTGAAAGTATAAATCTCAAACCTAACTCATTAATATATCAGGTTGAAAATATTAGCTCAGCCTAATCCTATAGCTAAAACAATCTTCACAAATCTTAGAAAAATAAGATTGGGCTGGACTGGCCAATGGACCGATGCCCCCGAATCAAGATCCTCTCCTTCATCTCTCTTCTTAACTCCCTACATGTTTTCTGATATCCGATTAACCTGATTTTTTACAGGTATGATATACTCAACAAATCTTAAAATGTAAATGGTTCGAATCATCAAAATTGAACCCAAAAGTGGGCCCAATGGCCTAGCAAATAGGGAGTTAAGGAGAGAGATGAATGAGAGGATCTTGATTCGATGTCCCCAAGTATGAATGTTGACACTTTTTTTTGGTGCTTATCATGGGCATTTTTATTTGTTTTTATTTATATTTTGATTATTTACACAAAATCTTATTAATTATTGGTGAATATTATTTTACTATGTATTCCTATATTTCAATTCATTAATTTCAAAAAATCATACAACTTTGCCTTATAGAAAAATGAAAGTTATGTATTTTTATAGTTGAAATGATCAAAATATACATATTTATAGATAAAGTAAAATGGTATTCATTAATAGATGAGGAAATCTTTATAATTAATCATTTTGATTTTTTAATAGTAAGTGCGTACATAGAATTAACAATAATTCTACTAACAAAAAAATTAGATTGATAAAAGAATCCTACAATATGAGTATATCACATTTGTTATGAAAAATAAAGGAAAGTATAATTTTGAAAATAAGTCATCCAACAACTTAAAAATATTATAATCTAATTATGTGTCTACATTTGTCTGATTAATGTGAACTTTAAGAAGGATGATTTTGCTAGATTGTCTTATGATATGAGCAATTCAAATCATCGATGTAAATTTCATTATTTGACTCTACAAAAGCTTAATGGCAGATAGACATGCAGAGGGGTGACTTGCCACTTGACTGAAAGTATAAAAGTTAACTGTTACAATTTAAAGGCCAGTGAACAAAAGGAGATTTTGGTAAAGTACTGGCGTGCTAAGTGTAATTAACTCAAATATAAAAGATTAATTATCAAAATTAAAACGAAAGGGTCAAAATGAAATTATACTAAAAATTCAAAGGTGTTGAGTAATTTATGTATGTGTCCAAGGTTTTTCAGTTTTTCATGAGTTTTTTTTTTGGGTAAATTACACTAAACACCCCTGATATTTCTGTTTAATACAGATTCTCCCTCACGTTTGAAAAATTATACTGACCCATTTTCAGATTAAAATGGCATATTTGCCCCTTAATCTTTATACATATAAAATAATAAAATAATGCTGATATTTTGTTCATATTATTTCAAAAGAAATAACACATATTCTTTGGTTTGGTTCACACAAAAAAATGATTTTTTTAAAAATATTTTCAAAAATTTATTTTTTATTTTTTAAATACACCTATTCTAGATATATTTAAGAAGTATAATATTTTGTATTTTTTTAAATTCACCAAATATTTATAAAAAAAAACAAAAATTACAAAAAAAATCAGTAATATTGTAATAAATGTGAATGACGGTATTTGATAATATTGTAATAAATGTAGAAAGAAAAATAATAGTGGAAATAAAAATAAAAATTTATATTCATGTAGAAAAAGTTATACAAAAAATATCATAAACATATTGTGATAGTGATCTTGTAAATATAAATCATGTTTATTTTAAAAGTGAAAGGTCACAATTAAGCTATATCAATGTGTTTGAAAATTTTATATAAAATTTATGTTTGTATATTATCACTCAATAAGAATATGTTTAGATAGAATTTAATGATAGAAAGTTATAAAATGTAGTCATGATAATAGGAAAAAGAAATGGTAAGAAAAAAGACAAAATGATCATTTAAAAAATTTTAGGGTATGATATTAGCAATTTAATGAATAATTTGTAATAAAATTATAAACTTCAGAAAAAAAATATAACTTTTCAAATGTAAAGAAAAAATCTGAATTAAACAAAAACTTGAAGGGCGTACCATTTACCACTTTTTTCTCCGCAACATGTTTAAAATTCAAGTAGATGATGGCACGGAGATGCATGACATTGATTTTTTTTTTTCTTCTCCGTTCTCTTTTCTTGGACAAGGAGTTGCAGGACATTGCTTCAATTCTTTTTTCTTCTCTCTCTTTTTTATTTTTTATTTATTTTTTAATTTTTTTAAGTCATATCACTTATCTATTTTTTTATGCAATTTTTTTTTTTAAAAACAAAAGTTAAAAAAATTAAAAAATTAACTTTTTACTATCTACCTTCTCAGAATACTATAGAGTTTACATATCTTGCCAGCTTATGTGCTGATACATAGAAACTCAAAACACTTGCTTAAGAACAACATATCTTGAATTCCTAAAGTCACCTCCCAATCCATCTTGCAAGATTGTTCAAAACTATTTACTAACACCTTGCAGTCGGTAAAAATGAAGAAGCATTTGATGTCCCTGTTTGCAGCCCACTTAGTAGCCTCCAGAGGTGCCCTGGCTTCGCAAGTAATGGAGAGTACAATGATTGATAAAAAAAAGTAGTGCATGCACCTTCGGCTGCTAAAGAGTGGTCAAATTGTCAAAAGTGGTCCAAGATATAAATAAATTAGTATTTTGGAGTATTGTTCAATATAGTAAATTCACGTGCACATAAATCAAATACAGAAACCTTTTTGAGAATGAAATTAAAAGTAGTTTTTTTAATTTTAATTTTTTTTGGGTCATATTATTTCTCTATTTTTTTTATATATATTTTAAAAAATCAAAAAAATTAAGAAATTAACTTTTAACTTACTTCTTAAAACAACTAGAATAGGATATAATCCTCTCACA